TGCTTCAAGACTGATTACACACAGTATTTAAGCAGCACACACACTCATTCACATTGCAGAGTCTTGTTATCTTTCACAGTGACATTACAACGCGTTTCTTTTGTCTGCCTTTGCCGTGTTTTTAATCCTTTGCCTTGTTTATATATTTAATGCTGTTTGCTGCCTGCCTCTGACTAACTGCCTGTTGTTTTGACTTCGACTCTGGATTGCCCTCATACATCTGTTTGCCGGTATTGACCACTACTTGCCTGACAATTCTAATAAACCTGCACGTGGATCCAAACTTCTGTTGTTGGTGTCACTCCCCGTCGTTACAATTGTATACAATATTTATTAACTATATATAAAAATATATCGATGTTGATGTCCGAGAATACGTTAATAACATTAACATCCGTTGTAACCATATATGGTTTGCCTAGGTTGTGTGTGCTGGATTGTGTGTGCCTGAAGCATGTGTGGTTCTGCGGGCCTGCAGCTGGATATTATTGGGGTGGTTTTTCTTTAACAAACAAATATGAATGTGCCTTTTTGTTGTTGTTTTTCATGATTATGTGGAGCAGCTGAGAGAGGTCAAGCAGAGTTTAGATCAAAACAGTCTGAAGGACAGATTATGATAATTCAGCTTTGCGCTGGTCATTTCACTCGGTACATGTACATTATGTACCACAAAGAGAATCAAACGTGCTGCAAAAGGGGAAAAAAATATGAACATGAGATCATCAAACATATTCCTACTGCCTGCTAGAAGGCAACACACGTATGAGCGCTTTAAACTAACTTTAAAGTCAGTAACTTTTCAAGGACACAAAAGTAAGGTCACCTCCGGCTAAACTCAATGCATTAATGTATCTGGGTCACTGCACATGTGCTCAAGCTCATTGTTAATTTTAGGCAAGTTTAAATAACAATGCTACTGTACAATATAAACCAATGAAACACTAAAAGCATTGGCAATTCAATAAACAAGCTGGTAGGAAGGAGATCATTTGTCTGCGAAGGGCCGGATTCAGATTTCATTTCAGCGATGCGACGTGTCTTGAAGCGGTGAGCATAAATCAAGCCAGAGTCCATTGATTTTTAGTGTGATTGTGGAGGGGTCACACATATGGACGTGGTTTACACTCATCTGTCATCTGTGAAAAGTGCAGAATCTGCTTCGCCCGTGTATGTACTGTATCAGACGTCCGTAGATTTTAATCCATCAATTGAGTCTGAAACCCAGTGCTGACAGATTGCCTCCCTCCCATGGTCACACAACAAGCTCTTAAAGAGATAGTTTACCCAGAAATGTAAATTTGCTGTCATTTATTCACCCTCTGGTTATCTGAGATGTCTGTTAAAACAAGGTATGTGGCAAGTAGAAGGATTGGAAATGTAAATGTAATTTCGTCACCTTAGAATTATAAAGTTCTATCTGAGTTATTGACATATTCTTATTCAATGAAAACTTATTTACATTATGGGAGGTTTTTATAATAAGTTATTAACATTTTAATACATTTATTAAAAAAACAAAAAAAAAAACAAATGTTACACAGATACTGTTTGCCATAGAATGCAAAAACTTTGAAGCTTAATATCTCAAAATCATTCAGAACGCAGATAGAACCTTATAACCACGATTTGTAATTGTTGTTATCGTTTGAAAAATTGTATTTAACTGCATTGCTCAGGATTTTTTCCTTAAATTACTGTGAATTTGTGGTAATAATGCTGTAAATTATGTTCACTTTCACGATCCAAACTGATCGTTTTGCTTCAGAAGACCTCACTCTAGAGAAGGAATCACCAAACTTGTTCATGGAGGTCCGGTGTCCTGCAGATTTTAACTCCAACCCTAATTAAACACACCTGAACAAGCTAATCAAGGTCTTACTAGGTATACTTGAAACACCCAGGCAGGTGAGTTGAGGCAAGTTGGAGCTAAACCCTGCAGGGAACCGGACCTCCAGGAACGAGACTGGTGACCCCTGCTCTTGAGCATAGGTCTCAAACTCAATTCCTGGAAGGCTGCAGCTCTGCACAGTTTTGCTCCCTAATCAACACAGCTGATCCAACCAATCAAGGTGTTCAAGACTACTGAAGACTATTAAGCAGGTGTGAGTTGGAGCTGAACTATGCAGAGCTGCTGTCCTCTAGGAATTTGAGACCATTGCCTTATTGCCTGGATCCACAGATCCCAGTTATTTTTATTTTTTTTTGTTGTTGTTTTTTAGGGATGTCACGTGGTTTCAGACTAGCAATCGGACGTTACCTCCAGATTAGGACTTGAATATATATGCATATTATATTTATTCTTATAAATTTTTTAACACATCTGTAGTTATGCAGTGGCAGAGAGGTAGACCTCTTTCTTGACTTCACACAGAAACAGCAACGTGTGGGGCATGACATCACTGTTGCAGAGTTTCTTATGGGTTAAATGCTAGCAAAGTAGAACATGGAAGCAGCTTAAAGTGGAAAGCGCGAGTATATCTGTGGTCTGGATATATTATAAAGAAAAAAAAAAGTTGATCGGGACATCCCTAGTTTTATTTATTTTTTTATTCTCAGTGTCGGTAGCTATTGACTTACATTATATCAATCACAAATGACCATGGTTTCAGGAAATAAAAAAACAAAACTTAATTAATTCCTTCATTTTCTGCCACTTTTCTGGGGCCGTGTCGCGGGGACAAAAGACTTAGGAGAGAACCCCAGACTTCCCTCTCCCCAGACACTTCCTCCAGCTCCTCCGGGGGAATCCCAAGACGTTCCTAGGCCAGCCAAGAGACATAGTCCATCCAGTGTGTCCTAGGTCTTCCCTGAGGCCTCTCTAGGTAAGCGTCCAGGAGGCATCTGTAACAGACCACCTCAGCTGGCTTCTCTCGATGTGGAGAAGCAGCGGCTCTACTCCAAGCTCCTCCCGAGTGTCAGAGCTCATTACCCTATGCATAAGAATGTGCCCTGCCACCCTGCGAAGGAAACTAATTTCAGCCGCTTGTATCCGAGATCTTGTCCTTTTGGTCATGATTCAAAGCTCATAGCTGAGAGTAGAAACGTGGATTGACCAGTAAATCGAAAGCTTTGCCTTTCAGCTCAAACATCTTTACCACAACGGACCGGTACATTGACCTCATTACTGCTGCCGCTGCACCGATCCGCCTGTCAATCTCACGTTCCATCCTTCCCTCACTCGTGAACAAAGCACCGAGATACTTAAACTCCTCCACCTGGGGTAAGGACTTTCCTCCAACCTGGAGATGGCAAACCATCTTTTTTTCAGTGGAGCACCATGGCCTCAGACTTGGAATTGCTGATTCTCATCACAGCCGCGTCACACTCGGCAGCAAACTGTCCCAGTGCAAGCTGAAGGTCCATGTTCAATGAAGCCAACAGAACAACACTTAATTAATGTTAATGAGTATGAACAAACTAACAGCAGATATTCCTTTTTGGGTGAATGTTTCCTTTAAAGGGATCATTTTTATTTTTATGAGCAGGGTTGTTGCTTAGTTAAAAGATGGGTCTGGTCTATTGGGAAATTTCTCCAGTTAGACCTCTGCATCAGCCTGTGCTCTGTAATACAGGACACCCATTAGCAGGGTCATATGGTGCCCTGGATAGTTCAGTGCCTAAGCACTAAGCAGTCCATTTTAGGGCAGCAGGATTACACAAAGAACAAGGATGATGCTCATGTGATGATGCGAGACAGACCCGGGGCCCCAAATCTCACATTTAGTCCAAACATAAGTGCTGTGTGTTATTAAAAAGACAAAAACTGATCAAAACAGGACATCTGCACCGGTTCAGTCATATTAAACCCTGCTCCAAAATGACCTCATAACAGCAGCCCTCACAAATCACATGCCGATACATCTGAGGGTGTGATGAGAATGTCGAGTGACCAAGCACAACAAACCAGTGATCAAGTAAGTGCTTTTACTGCTCCGACTCATCAACCGATGATAAATCAGGCCCTGCTGTGCATTACAACCCTTCTGATTAAAGTGCTCATCTGGACGGGCCCCAAAGCTTGCGCTCCTTGAGCTCTGGCTCACACAGGCGCGACAGGGAATTTGCGGCGCTGCTCTTCACTGGCGGTGTGGGATACTGTTTGAAATCTCATTAGACAGATCTTGCATAGATTGATTAGAGCTAATTAAGGCAGCCATGACTGCCAGGGGCCTCTAAACCCAAGCAACTGTGAGACCAGAGACTGTGAGGCAGGAACACACATACTGCATATACTGCAAATTCACCACTAGGACAACACACTATTTTTAGGTGCACATTTGCCTCCAAAAACAAAGAGCTTCAAAGACATGTGCCTCATGAGACAGTGATCTGGCCCTGTAATGAAGGCTTTAATCTATCTTTCTTTCTTTCTTTCTATCTATCTATCTATCTATCTATCTATCTATCTATCTATCTATCTATCTATCTGTCTATCTGTCTATCCATCCATCTATCTATCTATCTATCTATCTATCTATCTATCTGTCTGTCTGTCTATCTGTCTATCCATCTATCTATCTATCTATCTATCTATCTATCTATCTATCTATCTATCTATCTATCTATCTATCTATCTATCTGTCTATCTATCTATCTATCTATCTATCTATCTATCTATCTATCTATCTATCTATCTATCTATCTATCTATCTATCGGTCTGTCTATCGGTCTGTCTATCGGTCTGTCTGTCTGTCAACTCAATGATCTCCCGCTCCAGTTTTATTGCTGGAAGCAAATCCTTAGAGCAGTTTTTATTTCAGAAAATAAAGGTCCACACTTAAAACTTCACCAATTAAAACTTTATATGTGCCTTCTAAAATAACTGCTTTGTAAACCAAACCAAATTAAATGTTCATCTTATAGTAACATAATGTAGGCTAAAGGTCAACTTTATGACGTGCATAAAGTCTGACCACCTTGAAAAACTCCCAGCAAACACTTTATTTTCAAATATACAGCCTACATAAACTATCAGAACAAAAGAAAAAGCGGAACTCACCGGCTTCCCTCACAGTATCTGGACAGCAGCGATCTCATCATCATCATTGCTCTCCAAGTCGCTTGTCCATGTCGAGTCGCAGTTTCTCACTTCTGCACAATGTCCTCTAACATCATCCTCGTGCTCAGAAAGACGATGAGCCCGTCTTGAGAGACAAGACCCGAATGTTTTTTAATCGCTTTGCTCCTTCATTAATTCGTTCTGTCTACGACACATCTCTCCAGGGGCTTGCAGGATAATTGTAGCCTTAATTTGGGTTGGCTGTTCTCCGCGCTGACGCTTCTCTGCACTCGCTCCTCCAACTTCCAACTCCCACCTGACCATTTCAGTACGAGTGAATATCTGAAGCCCAGTGCTTTCTGGAGAGCAGATCGGTGTTTACTGCTCTGTTCGGCAGGGCTGGTGAAGGATAACACCTCGCGAGGGCACTCTGAGAGAATAGCAGATATTTGCGCGGCTTGGCCAAATCTCCGGATTTAGGTAAAACAGCAGATGGTTGGCCGAGAGAGACTCGTGGCTTGTAGATGCTGGGAAAACATCTCATAGGACACATGTTTACTTCAGTCGATTTATGCGATACAAAGACACACAGAGATCAACTAAATGTGACTTTTTGTAGTAAACTACAGGTTTTTTGTCGAAAAGAGTACAGCAGTCTACAAAATTTCAATGAGCCCAGTTTGTTAAATCTAAGGCTATACGGTAATGGCCCAGATTTTGACACAAACAAACAAACAAACAAGACTTCTGTAACACACAGGTACTGTAATGAATACAAATACTAAAATGCAATACCTCATTTTAATCTATATCCATTGAATTTACTTCATATATCCTGGTAAGATTAGTCTAATAAATGCTTTAGAAGTATTTGAATGTTAACCGCGCGTGTGTGTGTGTTATACCAATGTAGTTGACTGATAAAATGGAAATAGGCTACAAATTAAACTTAATTTGTGTGGGTTTGTTTAATAAATGGAGTAAAGTACATTATATAGTAACCTAACATAGTAAATATAATATACATTATTTGTTTATTTTCTTTTCAGCTTAGTCCCTTTATTAATCTGGGGTCCCCACAGCGGAAAGAATTTTTTTATGCAACCCATCACTGGGAAACATCCATACACACTCATTCACACACATACACTTAGCTTACCCAATTTACCCATAATGCATGTCTTTGGACTGTGGAGGAAACCAGAGAAAACAAACGCAATCACGGGGAGAACATGCAAACTCCGCACAGAAACACCGATTGACCCAGTCGAGGATCGAACCAGGAACTTTCTTGCTTTGAGGCTATCGTGCTACCCACTGCGACACCGTGCTGACCTAATACAACTTTTAATTTTAATAATGCATTAGTAATGTTAAAATGAACATTTCCTTATGTTTACATAATGCACAGTTATGTTTAATATCATAGTAAATTTAGTATAATATATTATTTTAAAGGGCGACATGGTGGCTCAGTAGTTAGCACTGTCGCCTCACAGTAAGAAGGTCACTGATTCGAGTCCCAGCTGTTTCAGTTGGCGTTTCAGTGTGGAGTTAACATGTTCTCACTGTGTTCGTGTGGGTTTCCTCCACAGTCCGAAGACATGCACTATAGGTGAATTGAATAAACTAAGTTGGCTGTAGTGTATGTGTGTGAATGGGAGTGTATGGATGTTTCCCAGTACTGGGTTGCAGCTGGGAGGGCATCCATTGTAAATAACATGCAAAATAAGTTGGCGGTTCATTCCACTGTGACGACCCCTGTTTAATAACAGGACTAAGCTGAAGGAAAATGAATAAATGAATGAGCTTTTAAACTGATTATTATTTAAAAAATAATTTAAAGTTGTTTAGGTTTTTGCTCATAGGGTTTTTTTTTTACTTTTTGTTCATACATTTCTAAAGTGTTTGCTTATGATCTAGTGCAGTGAATGTGGTAATAAATCGTCAGGTTTTAAGTCCAAAGTGCAAGTCTGCAACCAAGATTCTCTAATATGCTGACCAGGGTCAGATCTCCCAGAAATATCCGCTGGACTAAAATAGCAACTTTTCTTTTTCACTTTAATTTCATAATACATAAAGTTTTGAGATTAACATTTGTAGAGAGACCTCTGTATTATATAACTTGTGGTAAAAAAATCTCTGTGATTTAATCAGGCTGTAATGAAAGTCCATAAAACCACCCATTTTCAGACTACAATTATTCCTAAATAACTTAAGTGCCTTTTCAATGAATATCACACGACATTAAGCATCACTAATATACAAAAAGATGTCATCTTTGATTTTCTTCTCATTTTTTGTGTGTAAAGAGGACAGAGACTACACCTAATGAACCATGTTAATGGTAATTTTGGCACAAATGAATAACAGAGGTGTGATATTTAGTCTCAAAGAACAATGAATCAGGTTGGTCACTGACATCGGTTGCTCACAAGCATCATAAGGATGTTCCCTAATGGCAACAGCTTATTTACTTCATCTACAGTCCATGGATACAGCAGATTGAATAGAAACAGTAAGATCTGCACATACATTGGAGGTTTGGGAGAACAGTGACACCCTCCACATTGCCTGTAGGTCTTTAATTAAATTTGGCCACTAGAGGGAAAACATTTCAAATGAAGGAAGGGACTGAGTGCTGAAACGTCTCTAATATAGGAAACTTTCACCTTTATCCTCATTTAGTCGCTCCAAGTTCTTTAAACTTCACCAAAGTAATACATCACAACAAGACTGGCCTATTTTACCAAACCCTTTGTCTTTTTATGCTATTGTAGTTGAACTAAAATAGGGTTAAAGCAGCTAATTCAACATAAATAAAATTAAAAATAGTATTTATGTAAATGCATACATTATAAAAAACATTAACCTAACTGAAAATATCATAGTTTAATATTTACATGATTATTGTTTTAATATAACAATTATAATATAATTGGTATAATATAATTGGTATAATATAATATAATATGATATAATATAATATAATATAATATAATATAATATAATATAATATAATATAATATAATATAATATAATATAATTAATATAATAAAATAAAATAAAATACATCATTTTGTGTGATAATAAGCACTATGAATAACCTAAAAGTACAATAGAATCATTTATAAATAATTCACTGGCAGGCTTAACTATGTAAATTAAAAAATCTGACCTAAATAGCTCAGATGTAGTAATGTATAGCACAAATAACTGATGTTACCAGCAGCTTTGTCTGTATTTGTTTGTTAAATCAATTTTTTAACTTAAATGCCTAAGACATAATGTTTAAAATGTTTTATTTATGCAAACATTTTATTTATTCATTTATTTATCTACTTATCTATTTATTTGTTTGTTTGTTTTTGTTACAACTAAATTGTTACCAGCAGGAGTTTTATAAAAATAAAAAAAAATCAAATCTAAATTAGATCATATCTAAATCTCAAGTAAATGTCAGTAACATTGTGACAGCTGTTTTAAGAGTTCATAAAGAGCGACATAAAAGCCTGGAAGCTGAAGAGGGTTTAAAATGCCTGTGTGTTTAGTCGTTGTGCTGCTCACATGTTTGTTTCAGAAACTATTTGTCCTTGAATGTTCGCATATATGCCTTACACTAGCAATTCCTGAAATAGCTTTGTATGAATTATACAAAGCTATAATTAGTTGCAATAGATTTTTACTCTTAACCATTTCAACAGTATCTATTAATTTATATCAGAGATTAAATTGATTTAATTTAGCATTAACAATATATTTACTTGCAGTCTGTTTTGTCAGAAAGCTTACAGCTTACAGCTGTAAGCTTAATGCATGGGTTACATATAAGCTGAGGTGTAGTTTTAGGCAGTTGTTCCCGAAGTGGGGGTCATGGGACAATTTCAGGGGGTCGCTTGGTCATTTCCAAAATCAAATCAATTTTACTAAACTATTAGAATTACCATATTTTATCCAAAACCCTCAGAAGATCCAATAATAGTTTTTAATAGTGAAAAACAACAACATGCTAATGAAAAGCCATCAGCCTTTAAATATTTTTTTTCACAACAATAGCGTCAGCTGCAGCAGACTGAGTTTATAGAACCAGGTTAAACTATCTGACACCTTTATGGCAATCAACTACATTTAAAATAAATACAGGCCACAACTGAACATTGAGGATGATCGCTGAGTGGTGGTCTCCAAAATTAAAACAAGAATAGATTTGTGCTGAAAACATTGTGCCACCAGTCTCTGTAGTTGAGGTTAATATTAATGAAACAAATTAATAATTGACTATAAAAAATGATATGGTTGTTAGACTGTTGCAGTTTTTTTTGTTGTCAGTATGCTTGTGTTTATATAGGCCTATTGTTGCGTGAGCAACGTTTGTATATTTATAACCACCTTGAGGAATTTGGGGGTTGCAAGTCACTGGCATTGTTTATTTTAGGGGTCGTGGGCTGAAAAAGCTGGAAACCCCTGGTTTTAGGGACAGTACTACCCTCTTTATGTAATGACTATGATAACTATATAGTATATACATGCAAAACAGAACTATAAAACAGTACTTTAATAAACGCTTTGTTAATAATTCTAACTTAATGTTTTCTCTTTTCCAGCATGTCTTCTGCAGAGACATTTTGATAGTGAGCCAGGAGTTTGGGTTATTTGATTTTTTTATTCTCGGATATAAGCAAAAATCTGTCTGTAGTTTGTTTTACATTTTAAAACAGATTGTAAAAGGATGTTTATCTCATACCCCCAGCCCAACCTTCTAAAAACCTCATCATTCCCTGAATATTTTCTCTCTCTCTTTCTCTCTCTCTCTCTCTCTCTCTCTCTTTCTCTCTCTCTGTTTTGCAGTGAATCCAGTGACACAAGCCTCTCTGACCTGCCTTTATAAATGCCGGTCTGACCTTGGATTAGCGTAAGACTCACTGATTTGTATTGGTCAAATCTTGCCATCACAAGCCCTCAGATGCCTGCGCACGTGGCAGATGGTACACTTCTGAAATTGTGAATGTGCTTCAAAGGCACATGTGTTTATCACGAATGTATAGTTTGCCAGCATTTTACTAATCCTCAGCCTGAGGACATCTGTGCATCAATGGTGGTGGCACTGGAAAAACACAAACAAGCGTCTGTTAGGGCTTTTATGAATGAACTGTCACTCATTCAGCACTTTATTACTATATTCATGCAGTTGACAAAATTATTAGCCCTCCTGTGAAATTTCAATTTTTTTTCAAATATTTCTCAAGTGATGTTTTTGGGATTTTTTACAGTATTTTGTATCATATTTTTTACTTCTGTGTAGTTTTATTTACTTTAGTTTGGCTGGAATAAAAACATTTTTGGGACAATTTAAGGTCAATATTATTAGCCCCTTTAAGAATCTTTTTTTTTTTCTTTTGCCCATAAAACAAATCACTTTTGTCTAAAAACTTGCTTCATTATCATAAATTGTTGCACTAATATAATAACCTGGTCTTTAAATTGCAATTTAAGCTTAATAGTATCTTGAAAAATAACTAGTGAATCAAATCTTATGTATTGTCTTGATGGCAAAGACAACAGAAATAAGTTATCTGAAATTAATTCATT